GACAGGGACAGATCTTGACACAGCCTCTGCACCGCCACTGCAGCGCTGCGCCGTGGCGCCGGCCGCAGCACTGGGGCTGGCCTGTGCCTACCACACCTCCTCCTAAACCACAGAGCCCCCTCCCTCGTGGCCGCGACGACGCCCCCGGGCCGACCAAGCCCACCACCAGCCCGCTCCCTGCCCGCACCTGCACCCAAACCTTTCCGGAGTGACGCGGCCGTCCCTTTATCGCCTTCACATCCCCGTCCCCACAATTGACCCCGTCTGCGTCCTGACCACACTCCCCTCCCCACAACCCTCCTATCCCCTCCCCCTCCCAACAAAGGAATGTGAAGCTGATCGCGGAGGCGTGGGACTGCGACGGCCTCAACCAGGTGATCCGACTTCCCCTGGCTTGCTCTTGCCGCAGGCCCTTCCGCTGCACAGCGGCCCCACCAAACAGCACACCAAAGTAGAAAATCCATCCGGACGCGTCGGCAGGCGCGCGAAGCCGCTAGCAGCACAGCTTCAGTCTGTGCTGCATCCCATGGGTTCGCGGCGCCCGCCGCGGATGCTCTGCAAAAGGCCCTGCCCTGTCAGGCGGGTGCAAAAGCGCCTGCTTCCGCCATCACCGCCCGCCCGCATTCCCTGGTTTCGTAAAATTCGAAGGTCGGGGCGTTCCCGCATTACGGCGGCCGCTGGAGCGAGTGGAACGGCACGTTCCGCGACACGGTGCGGGGGGGCTGGGGGTGGGATGGGGCTGCCCTGAGGAAGGGGACAGGAGGGAGGGGCTCAGAGCGGTGTGTGCTGTCTGCGTTGAGGCGGCACCGCTGTGCCTTGAAGCCTGGACGCAGGCGCGAAGCGGGCGACGGGCGTCAGGTCACACAGTTGCGGATGTCGGCTGGCGCGGAGAGCCTCCACACCAGATATTGTCAGAGGACGATATTGGGCCGTGTGGCAGATGCCAAACTACACTGGCATGTTGATCACCGGGATCATCTTGGTTGCCACTTCCTTTGCCCTGATGACGCGTAAATCAAGCAACCGCCTCAAAGCGTTCCTGCTTGTCCTGCCTATGTTTGGGGCCAAGATTTTTACTCTACCACGGTGACCAAAGGTTGCAAACGCCCCCCGGCCCCTCCCTCCCCTGCCGCGGCGCGCCCACAGGTGCGCCAATTTATGAAGGGCACGGAGGGCCCCTGGGCAGGCAACTTTGCCAACGCAATCTGTGGCAGCCCCACCCTCTACGCGCACACAAACGCGGGTGAGAGCAGCCGTGTGACAGTTCGCGCGACCTGCAGCCCCGCCCCGGGTCCATCCGGTCTCCAATCACCCCTGCTGCCTGCTATCAACCCGTTGCATCTGGGATAAGGACCCGCCCCTTCTGTCGGCCAGGAATCACGGGAAGCCGCTATAGGAACTTTTTGTTCCCAACACCGCGCGTTGCCGACTGGCCCCTTTGGGTCCGCAGCATCGCCCCCGTTCAGTTCACAAACTATCCAAACCGCCCAACTTGCCCTCACCGCCCAAATCACCCACAGGTGAGGACTGGTGGGCCAACAACGGGGGTGCCCAGTGGAAGGGCAACCGTGCGCCCTACGCGTCCATCAACTTCGTGTGCGCCCACGACGGCTTCACTCTGGCGGACCTGGTGGCATACAATGAGAAGCATAATGAGGTGCGCGGGCCTGGGAGTGCGTGTGTGTTGGCGTGTGTGTACGTTTGGGGGGGGGGGAGAGAGTGTGTTTGTCGACAGTTTGGGGCCCATGACTGCTTGTGCGTGTCCACAATTGGGGTTTGAGGCAAGCAGCTGGCCGCAGATTGGGGCACACATGGACCGAAGCGCGGACATGCTAAGGGCGATGCCAAGCGCAAGAAGCACTTGCCGCTGCCGGGCAATCCTTTCGACTGACTGATACGCCCCTTTGAACTTAACATATTGCTTGAACTGAACTCCACCCACTACGCAAGTCCACATGTGAATTCGCCCGGTTGCATCCTGACCCGCCATCTCTTCCTGTCCTCGCTTTCTCCGTTACGCCCCTCCTCTCCCCCATTCTCGAACGCCCCGCTGTGCGCCGCATCACCCCTCTGCACCTCCCTCCCACCAGGCCAACGGTGAGGGCAACAATGATGGTGAGAGCCACAACCTCAGCTGGAATTGCGGGGAGGAGGGGCCCTCAAACAACATCGGCGTCAACAGGTGTGGGTGCGCGCGTGACTGCATGGGTGCATGTGTGCGTGGTTGGTTGGTTGGTAGGGCACAATGTCAGGACGAGGCGGCATTCGGATCCCTGGGAAGACGGATGGACGAGATGGGTCACCAGCTCCTGTGATCACTAAAGTTCTGTGGTCACTAAAGTTCTGTGTAAGTCTGGGGGTCGACGCTCGCAATCATGGCCCCCAGCATCCCAAGAAGCAGCTGCCTGCTGCTGTACCGTGGGACCCGGCGACCTCCCCCACCCACATGCCTGCCCCCCTGCCCTCTGCTGCCACCGCGACTGGACCTTCAAGGCTGCGTCAGCGCCAGATGCGCAACATGGTGACAGCCCTGATGGTGGCGCACGGCGTGCCCATGATCCAGATGGGGGACGAGTACGGGCACTCAAAGGTAGGCGCGCGCGCCGATGTGCAGTGTGTGGATGTGTTTGTGTGTGCTTGTCAAGCATGTTATGTGAGTGTGTGTGCACATATGTGGGCGCTTGATTCTATGTACGCGCGTGCGCCCGTGGGTGCATGCATGCGCTTGCATCGGTGTCTTGGTATGCTCTCACGTGTGGGCGCGGTTGCACCAGCACGTGTGTGCGGGTGTACATATCGGGGTTTGAGATGGTTCTGCAGAGCGGGGTGTATGCGGTGCCATCGGGTGCGCGTGAGCCGGGTAAGCGTGTGTCGGCGGTTGGCACGCCGCGGTCAAGCCCCTGGGCCCAAGAGGGGGTCTCGCATCGCATGACAGGCGTCAAAGCTGTCCATGCCACGACCAGCCCCGCCCCCACGGCATCGCTGTGTGCCGGCACGCTTAGTGATGGCCCCCGCCTCCCGGACTCCTCGCTCTCCCCCGCTACACTTGCGCACACATTGGAAGAGGGGGAGGGTGAACAATGTGTGTGTGTGTGTGTGTGTGTGTGTGTAAACGTGGGTGCAGGTGGGTGCGTGCATGCGCGCTTTTGCGCGTGAGTGCATGCACGTGTTTTTATGTGGGGGTGCAAATGGGATATGCACATGATCATGAGGGAGGGGCCGCGTGTACTGCTGCTGGTTGCAGGCAAGCCCTGTGAAGTCGCGGCGCCGGCTGGCGCCGTGATCAAGCGCGTGTTTTTTGGGAACGGGGGTTGCGCGCCCCGCACGACAAGGCTCCACGGGCGTCCCTGCCACGACCAGCCGCGTCCGCACAACCATGTTGCACCGGCGCGCGCACAAATGGCCTCCCGGACTCCTCGCTCTCCCCCGCTGCACTTGCGCCTGCCAACCCGGCTGCACACCTGTTCTGTCGTCTCGGCATCGAAGCCTTCCACAGCACCAACAAACCCCCTCCCACCACCCTCTCTTTGACCCCACAAATATCCAAACCCCTCGCAACCCGTCCAAACCCCTTCCCCCACCTCCCGAAGGCGGGCAACAACAACACCTACTGCCACGACGACCACCTCAACTGGGTCGACTGGTCCCAGGCCGCCCGCGACGAGGCCGGCTTCTCGCGCTTCGTGCGGCGCCTGGTGCACTTCCGCAGGCAGCACCCAGAGCTGCGCAGGAGGTGCGGGACCCCTGGGCTGTGTGTTGCAAACTCCAGCCAGCCGCCGCTAATTCTAAAGTCATGGCCAGCCTGCTGTCTGGCTGGGGCTTCGACGTTCGCTCCTGCCCAAACCTTTATCCTTGTCGTTGTGTGGGGGCGAGAGCGGCAGGAGAGCCCGGCCAACGCTTGCACGTAATCATACGCCCCCTCGCAACCGCTTCAAAATCGCAACCCCCCAAGGACATTTGTGAATGACAGCGACGTGCAGTGGCACGGGGAGGCCGCGGGCGAGCCCGACTGGAGCGAAAGCAGCCGCCTGGTCGCGTACACGCTGTCTGACGGCAGGGGGGGCGGCCTCTACATTGCCTTCAACACGTCGCACAAGGCCAAGTGCGTGGCCGCCGCGGTCGTGCGAGGGGGGCTTTCCGGGTGCTGTTTGGGTCAGGGGGGCCATGGCGCATGTTCGACTCCCTGGTTGGCCCTCGTGCTTTTTTGAGGGGGCTGCCAATTCAAAGACCTCATCAATGTCGGTGCGGTCGGTCGGTGTGCAAAGGCCCACCAGGCGCGTATGAGCAGCCAAACCGCCAGCCCCGCACAACCCCAGAAGCCTTGGAGCAAGGCACAGACTCCGATCACTCAGATCACAGAGCCTGTGCACAACGGACACACGACCGACCCGTGTGGTGCACACGCCCCCCCACCCCAGGGTGCTGGAGCTGCCCAAGTGGCACGGCCGCGCGTGGCAGCCGGTGTTCGACACGTCCAAGGTTGCGCCGTACGACGCGCTGATCGCCGACGAGGAGCTGGGGGAGGGGGAGGTCAGGGAGGTGGGCACGCGCGTCCAAGGGACGACCCGGGACCACGGTTCATAGTCGAGATCTGTGCTGAATTGTCATGCATTTGGGCTGCTATATGCTGCTACTGGTGTCGCCGTCATTACTCGGATCTCGCTGCCAGTCATCCGATGGAGCCCCAACGGTGCACAGTCCCCCTCAACCCAACCCTGACAACGCACGCTCACTGAGCTGGTCGACCCCCCCCCTCACACACACATACACACACACACACACGCACACCTGCACGCGCAAGCACACACACACACACACACTTACACGCACACCTGCACGCGCAAGCACACACACACACACCCAATCCCGCCCTCCGGCCGCCCCGCCCCAGGCCCGCCTGGCGGCCAGCATGTGGGGTGGCGGCGGCTTCTACGCGCTGCTGCCCTGGGCCGCCATCATACTGGAGGCCGTACCAGAGGCAGCGCTAGCCGCTGTCCGCAGCCGCCCCGCGGGAACGGGGCCGCCGCCCGCGGGCGGGCCGCCTACCGCCGAGGACGTCCGCCTGGCGCGGGTGGGTGCCTCTGTGTGTGTGTGTGTGTGGTGTGTGTGTGTGTGTGGGTGGTGTGTGTGTGTGTGTGTGTGTGTTTATTGGGGCGGTAGCGGACAGTCGGGAGCGCTGGCAAGGTAAGCAGGGGCAGGCGCGCTTGCACGACCTGCCTTTGTGCAAGCCGTCTGTCGAACTGGGCCCTCTGTTGCTGCTGCAGGGTGAACCCCTGGCTTTTGGGGGGGAACGTTTGTCTCCCTGTTTGCCCAGCAACAGCAGCCTCCGTGCATGCTGACGTCCACGCTGCCATCTGACCCCTGCCCCTTGTCGCGTGAACCCCCATCTATCCGCAGGCTGCCCGCCGCAACCTCAGCCCAGAGCAGCTCTTTGACGAGGTCACCAACCCCAAGTGATCTGGTCTGATCTGGCTTGATCTGATCTGGTTTGATCCGATCCAGCTCGGTCTCATCCAGTTGCAGGGGGATGTGAGCGGCGAGGCCATGGCGCGGCTGCGACATCGGCTGCCTCGGCCATGGCCTGCGCTCTCAGCCGCACACGTCGCCTCTTGAGAGTGTTGCCGCCACACTCTTTTTTGGGGGCGGAGGGGTGTGCCCCTCGCAGCTGCTCGGCGGTAGCGCCTCAGGCAGGTGCAGGGTGTGCAGGCTGCAAAGGCATTGCCCCATAATATACTGGCGGCGCGCCACACCCCACCGCGTTGCCGCTCGGGCGGCCGGACGCTCGGCGTATCCCCCGGCCCCGCCTGCTTTAGGCATCAACACGAAGACATTTTTCCGGCCATACAGGGTTGCGAGGAGCGTTGTTTGCTAGCCAGCTTGAATTGGGGCAGATGAGGTTGCCGGTGCCCTCCCCCGCACCCGTCACGAGAGGTGGTTGCGCCTGCCAGGCTGCCGGCTGTGGCCGGAGTCTTCAGGGCGGGGCGGGACTAGGCAGCACACGCTGCACAGCCAGGGACCTCGGGAACATCAACAACACGCGTGCACCAAACATCCAGAGTGGCACACCTGCAAGACGAAGCACCGGCGAGCCTCCGCCTCGCTGGCGGCGGCGCCGCTCGGAGGGAGGCTCCGAGCGTCGGGCGCGGCTCCGCGCCTCCCACCTTTTTGCACACTCATACGCATTGACGCTGCTTGGCACCGGCCCCCTTTTGGCGGATTCCGCCCCGTTGTACAATTCTTGGACAGCTGATTCGGGTGCATCACCCCCCACCGAGAGCGCGCGCCGGCCTCGCCCCGCGGCCGCTTCAAGCGGCGGCCGCGCGGCTGTGGCGCGCCCCGCGCTGCCCCGCGGGCGCCCCCGCCGAGCGGCACCAAGCCTCAACACCTGTTTGTTGCGGCGCGCCGCCCTGTAGTGCGCGCGGCTGCAGAGTCCCCCAATTGGGACACTCGGCAGCGCCTTGCCCGGGCGATGCCTTGCGCTGTCGGCAAGCGCGCCACTCTGACCCCCGCCGCGCGGAGCCGGGCAGCGCCCTATGCACAAGCAGCCCTCGGAGGTTCGGCGCCCCCGCCCCTTGAATTCCAGCCGTGCGCACAAGCACCAGCCCAGCAAGCCGCCGCCGTCTTGCTGGACGGGGCCTTGTTTGCTTATGCCCCCAGCATGGGTAGCCAGAGTGCGTACGCCGACCCGCCTGCCGGTTGGTGGCCGCGGGCATTCCCGCAGCAGCGGCGCCGGCCCCCTGATCCGCGGCGCCCTGCGCCACGCCACAGCAGTTGACAGCAGCATTAGCAGCACTCGCCTGCGCCCCGCGGGCACTTCCTCCAAATCGCCGCTCCAAGAGTTGAATTGAGAGCCATGAGCGAGCGCGACTGTAAAGACTTGATCAGCTGATTATGAATGCAGCGGCTCCCCGGTGCGCACGTGACCGTGCTGCTTGCATCCCGCAGTCTGGCGCAGCCTGCACCCAACGAATGTACTGGAGCGTCCAGCACAGCCGCAAGCTGCAGCCGCGGCCTCTTGAGTGGGCGTAGCCAGGCGTTGGCTATGGGGATGGTAGAGAGCTCACAAGTCAGGCATCCTGAATGCCACCGTCGACATCAGTGTTGCAGTTGCGCCAACGCGTCGCAACAAGGGATCAGGGGCGATGTCAGGTGAAACGCTTGCAGTCAGAGCCCTGTGCCTTGGCAGAAAGGACCTGCGTGCCTTCCCAGGTTCTCGCTGGATGAACTGTTGCTGCCGCGCACAAACAGGTGAGGGTTTTGTGTGGCCAAGCTCCAAGGCCTCTCCTCAACATAGGATTGGTTGCCGAACAGCGTGTCTGGGCTCGCAGTCCCTCATTTTTGGGCGGTGACTTGAGTGACCGCCAGTGCCACCTGTACCTTGCCGCGCGGGTGATAAGCCGATAATGGCCCAGAGGCCCTGTATACGAGCAAACTCGCCCGTGAATCCCTCTTTTCCATCCGTACACGTGGCAGTGGATCAAGACATTGCGCTTCGTCAACCGTTGCGCCATTTCTTTCGTCAGCGAGAGCGGACGAACTGCCACCGCCTGTGACTAGAGTGTGGCAGAGCTTTCTCACGGACGCATAGCGACGGTATAAACGCCTTCGAAGCGGAGTACGCGCGGCGACCATAATCTGAGATCGGCGGCGCTCAGCGCATCCAAGCTGCGATCCGATCCAATGCCGGGGCCGACGTGGCGCGTGACAGAGCTGACCAAGCGGTTCGGCCTGCGCGTGCCCATAGTGCAGGTCGGTCCCTCAGGCAGCCCACCGGACCCTGCCCGGTGCAGCTGCCAACGCCGCCACGCTGTCAACCAGTTGCCCACTCGGACACACCCTGCTGCACATACCTGGG